TGTGTGTATATATGTATACACACATACATATATACTTCTGATAGTCTATGTAAGTATGAAACTTTTTATTTTAATAAGTGAAATAATTTGGCATAGAAATATACAAGAAATTTAAGGGCAGAGCTATCCATTTAGTGGCTTTGCCCTTGATAAATTCCAGAAATGGAAGCATACTTACATATGGGATCTCCTGCAACAGCTAGGTCTGATGGTTCACTGGGAGAGCCAACTCCTGCAGCATTTATTGCCATCGCTCTGAACTGGTATTTAACACCTTCAATCAAACGGGGAACATTAAATTCCACGCCTTTCAATCCCACTTTGGTTATCGGTGCTCGGCTAACACGTGACCAGTAGGCACCTCCCTCTTCTCTCTTCTCCAGCCAGTAGCCAGTAATTGGAGAGCCGCCGTTGTCCAGAGGAGGAGTCCAGCTCACTAGCATCGACCCTTTGGTGCGCTCCAAAACTGTTGGCTTTCCCGGAGGTCCAGGAGTGCGATAAGGATCTTGAATGACCACTTTATCTGATTTGCATTCATCGCTGGTTCCATATTTATTCACTGCCCTAACTCGGAACTCATACTGACCATTGGGGATAAGTTTCCAGATCTAGAAATCAGATGAACAATAATTTCTTAAAAACAATATACTTACATTGATTTTCACTTGTTTTAAAATTCCAGTTATTTTGGTAGGGAAGACTGTAAAAAGAAATACTTCTATAAACTCAGTTATCTGAGTTTCTCCACTCAAACATGGAGAAAGTCTTTTAAAATGAGAATGTGTAAATTTATTGCACCTAATAGTGGCTCTCTCAAGTAAAAGAGGATCTGTATATCAAAGTATTTACTAAGTGGCTTTTATGTGCAAGATGCTAAAAACTATACTTAAGCTTTTTGTGTGCGGTTTTGAGTTCAATCATTAAATTCCAAGGTCATGCTAGAAGGATGTTAATTCAGAGTTATGTCCTTTAAGTGTGCATAAGAAAATACTTAGAAGAGTTTACCCCATATCTCCTCTCTACAGCAGTGTTGGTGACTTCTTCCCATTCAGCTTTCTTCCTGCTTGCATCGCGTTTGTCAATGACATAATGGGTGATTTCACCCCCACCATTGTCTAGAGGGGCATCCCACGTTAAGTGGCAAGATTCAGCTTTAATGTCAACAACAGCAAGATTTCTTGGTGGGGATGGACGATCTGAAAAGGAACCAAAGGAGGAGATTGAGAAGCAAATTCTTAAACAGACACTGGATTTCTTTTTTTTTTTTTTTAGAAAGCGTATCACTTACCGTATACTTCAACATGGACATTTCGGAACACTGAGCCAAGGCGATTAGAAGCAGTCACCGTGTAAGTGCCTTTGTCCTCCCGGGTTGCTCTGGGAATGCTAAGCTCAGTCTTTGCCTCACTTCGGGATACTTCTTCCTTGGTTATCTTAAGTGCATCGGTGGGTTTTTCAATCACAGTTTCATTCTTGGACCACTCAATTTTAGGCATTGGAAGGCCTGTCACATCTGCAGGGATGTTAACAGGCTCTCCCGCCTTAACTTTGATGGTGTCTCCTCGAACAGACAGGCGCAACTTAATAGTTGGAGGCACTGCAAAGAGAAGGGAAAGGGGAAAAAAAATAGCAAAGTCATAAGGATGTTTGCTCAACCTATGAGATAAAGTGCATTAAAATGATTATTATGTTCAGATTCAACACCTTCATCATCTTGTATGACCACATTAAGAGGCAGGGATGGTTCGCTTTCACCAATTTCGTTGACGGCCTTGACACGGAACTCATACATTTGGTGTTCATCAAGATCTTCAACCAGAAGAGATGTGGTTGGGCAGAGTCGCTTGTTAACTCTTTCAAAGTCAGGTTTGTCATGACGCCGTTTTTCAATGATATAGCCTTGGATGGGGCAGCCACCATTACTGCGGGGCTCTTTCCAGTCAAGGTTGATAGTGGACTTGGTCCTTTCCGTATATGTAAGCCTCTCGGGAGACGTTGGAGGACCTTTAACCAGAGGCAGGTTGAAATGACAAGAATGAAATAAGTATTCATGTAAGAAATCACATTTCAATTCGGATTAATTATGTGAAAAATAGGTTTCTGTTCGGCATACTGTTGCATCTGTCTTTAAAATCCTCAGAATATCTCAGTTAACAGAATTATAGGCGTTCATATAGTCAGAATTTTTCTTAGTAAACTCTATAGTCAAGATTATTGATTAAAAATTGAGGTGCATGTATGCTTTTTTATATTTAGCATTTTAGATATTTTACCTCTGTCAGTGGGAAAGCTTCTAATTTTAATGACCTAGGAGGGCTGTCTGTGAAGTTTTGCTTTGAGTGACCAGCTGAGAGCAAGTGTTCCTTTCTTATTAACAGAAAATGGATATGTCTACTGAACACACTTTGGACCATGTTGCCTCAGGTGTGGGTTTAACAGGGGGTGGAAAGAGAATTTATGTAATGCTGCTGTAGTTTTGTGTCCTGAAGGACAAGATAGAAAGAATAAGCTTTGCATGGTGAAACTAGACCCAATCCACTCTTGACTGTTATCGCAACCAGAAGCAGAGCTTAGTGGTAGAAGTCCAACTCTGTTCTGTTCTTTCTGGCACAACCTGAGCTGTAGTAGACATTTTGAGATGAGCTGTTACAGTGAGGAGGTAATTTTGTTCCTGTTTGTTTTTGGGTGGTGGTGGTGGTGGTGGAGGAGGAATAACTCCTCTGTCTCTTGGGGAACGGGGCATCCTCAAAGACTTGGCTTTCTAGGATGGGATGTCAGCATGCATTACCAAGTGTGTGCAATATTAGGGCTTCCTATTTGTTTATACTGGTCAAGGAGATCTCCTTTGGTTGGGTTTCCATTCTTTGGTGGCTCTTTCTGGTTTTGGTGCCCCCTCATCCTTCCAGTCTGGGGACTACTTGAGGGGCTAAAGGAAGACTAAAGCATTAACGCTAAGGCAGTTTTCTGTCCTGTAATCTTTCAAAAACAATGAACTCTCTTTGACTACTGGACTATTAAATTAATTACTCCAGTGTATTTTCTTACTAAGATGTAATATTTCTAAACTATTTTTAGGTTATGCTAAGCTCCAGTGATTCAGGTTTTTCAGCACGCAAAACCATGCCCAGTTTTGTGCAAAAATTACATTGAAATTATTGTAAACATGGTATAAAGTTGCTGGTAGTTATTTAGTTTACCTTTCTCATTACTTTCTCATTATTCCAGCTATAGATCTTGAGATTGTTGGGAGTTTGAAGCCATAAAGCTCTACACATAAGTGACATAACTAGAAGCAATCAATCAGTGTTTACTTTATATACACAATGAAAACCTTCTTTTTTACCTAGTGGGTCAACTGCAAGAATTGGTCCTATTTCAACAGGAGGGCCACAGCCAAACTTGTTCTTGGCAATCACACGGTACATATATTCTTGTCCCTCAAGGAGACCTGTGATGTCACATTTAGATCTCTCAGTCTCTATTGGTTGTCTCCAAGTGTGCATCTTAGCATCCTTTCTTTCAATAATAAAGCCCGTGATATCACTTCCTCCATCATCTGCTGGATCAGACCAGTTAAGCAGACACATTTTTCTGTTTGTTACAACGGGTTTCAAATCAAGAACTGGACCAGGGACATCTGAAAAATAAAACGGCAACAAAAAAAATCAATGCAATAAGATAGATGATAGTATCACTTAGGAAAAATCCTGTGGAAATCCATGTAATATTCCTTACCAAAAACTTCTACCCGGGCTGCTGCAAATTTAGAACCACAGCTATTGGTAGCTGTAATCACATATCTGCCATGATCTTTTCTTAATGCATTCTTGATAATTAGTTCAGATTTGGTTCCAACGTTCTCTATTTCAACACGGTCTTTATCCAGCTCTCCTTCTTCTTTGGTCCACACTTTCGTTGGCACTGGACGACCAGTTACCACAGCTGGAATTCTGAGAGTCTTCCCAGCCACGATCTGTATTCCAGCCTTGACAGAAACATCTAGTTCCACATTTGGAGGCTCTGTTGAAAGAGAACAGTCAGACGTTAGCCCAAGAAAGATGGAAAAAAAAAAAATCTCATACTGGGAAAATATCCATCATCTTATTTATGTAACTTTTAAGTACCTTGTGGTTCAGCCACAGTAACGGGTTCTGTTTCTCCAGGCGGTCCTTCACCTGCGGCGTTGACAGCGCTCACTCGAAGTTTGTAATCGGCACCCTCTCGGATTTCTTTGACAGTGTACTCACGGGCCTTGATCATCTTCTCTGTGCAGCGGGACCATTCATTTGTGCCAACCAGCTGCTTATCAACAAAGTAGCCAACAATTTCCCCACCACCATTGAAAGCTGGGGGTTCCCATGCTAGTTCAATAGTTGTGGAACTTGTGTCATTGACTCTTGGGACAGGTGGCCCAGGTGGAGCTAGAATGAATGCAGACACAGAAATCAAAACTCACTGATGGGTACTTCCCTGGCGGCACAGTGGTTAAGACTCTGCCTGCCAATGCAGGGAACACGGGTTCGAGCCCTGGTCTGGGAGGATCCCACATGCCACAGAGCAACTAAGCCTGTGTGCCACAACTACTGAGCCTGCGCTCTAGAGCCCACGAGCCACAACTACTGAGCCCACGTGCCATAACTGCTGAAGCCCGTGTGCCTAGAGCCTGTGCTGCACAACAAGAGGAGCCACTGCAATGAGAAGCCCACTCACCGCAACGAAGAGTAGCCCCCGCTCGCCGCAACTAGAGAAAGCCTGCACTCAGCACCGAAGACCCAATGCAGCCAATAAATAAATAAATAAATTTATTTAAAAAAAACAACTCACTGATGGTTTTAAAATGCGCAGTAGCTTACGTGACCCCACTTTTTTTTCCACAGTGTGTTGCATGTAATATGGGTAATTAATTATTGCTTTGTGAAGCTTTTCAGTTATAAATACAGATGTTTAAATTTTTACATTGCAACCTCAACATTTGTCTATAGTCAGTCATGGCTAGTATTTAGTTTGATTTTTTTCCAGCTTGACTGAGATATTATTGACATATAACGCATGTAAGTTTAAGGTGTACAATGTGATGATTTGATACACGTATATATTGCAAAATGATTGCCACAATAACGTCAGTTAACACCACCACTCCCTCACATAATTACCACTTTTTGATAACACTTAAGATCTACACTCTCAACAACTTTCAAGCATATAAAACAGTACTGTTAATTATAGTGACCATGCTACACCCCACTTTCTTCTTAAGGAATTACTTACAGATTGGATCACGTGCTGTTTTGGGATCCGAGGGGGGACTGAACTTTCCAGGTCCAGCTGCGTTTTCGGCACATACTCTGAAGACATAGGTGAGTCCCTCTAATAGGCCTTCTACATTGGTCTTCAAAGAATTCAGAAGGTTTCGGTTGACACGAGACCAGTGTGTGCTATTCACCTCACGTCTTTCAAGCCAGTAACCCAAGATGGGGCTTCCATTATCTTTTGGTTCATTCCATTTCACTAGCATACTGTTACTGGTGACATCTTCCACAGTGGGCTTATCGGGTGCATCAGGTGGTTCTGATTAAAATTAAAAAGGCATATTTGAATTAATTCCCTAGCATGACATGAAAATTCAAGTTTACAAGCTGTGATAATATATATACCAACATATGATAAAAAGGCAAAGTTTAAATGCTAAAGATCCTTACCAAATGGATCTTTAGCTGTAAGTGGCTTTGAAACACATGGTGGTCCAGGCCCAAACCTATTTTCAGCTCTGACGCGGAAGAGGTACTCTTTTCCTTCAATCAACTTTGTCACTGAATATTTGCAATGTCTAAGTGTTGAAGTGACGACAATCCATTCTGAGTCAGGTTTTGTCTTGTCTTTCTTTTCCAAAGTGTAGTTTAAAATTTCACTGCCACCATCATCAAGGGGTGGTTCCCATTTACAGATGACTGAGGTCTTTCTAATATCTTCAAATACAAAGTTGATTGGTGGTCCTGGTATATCTGATATTTTGAAAGACAGAAGTGGTTAAAATTTTGTGTAGCACTGGAAAATGTAAATGTTTAGTGTGCTTTTAAGCTTCTAGACGCAGTGTGCTTCTGTGACATAAACCTCTGTTTTTTCTACATCTGTCTGTCATCTTTGTATCACATTAGCTAATGAATAACAAGGTCAGTTGATTTCTTTTACATAGCCAGGAGAAAAAATTGGGACCGAGGATACCTTGCTGAAGCTATTTCCCACTTCTATTAACTGCCCACAAAACTCTTATATTAACTTTCTTCCACTGGAAAGTGTAGTTTTACCTACTTACCTAGCACACTGACGGTACAAGGAGCTTTTGCAATACCATGGTCATTTTCAGCTTTGATCATAAACAGGCCATGATCAGGTCGGAGAGAGTCTCGGACACGTAGCTGAGATTCTCCTTTTTTACTACTGTCAATACTCAAACGCTGTGTCAGAGGCAGGACAAATGGTTCTTCTTCTTCTTGAACTTCACCCTTCTTCCTCCTAACCAGGGGTGCTACCCGCTTCCTAATTTCCTCTGGTGTGATAACATTTTCATCCTTTAGCCACGTAATAGTTGGGTAAGGTGACCCAGAAATAATTGCATCGAGTGCTATTTCATCACCTCGTCTCACTTCTAGGCTTGTTCTCATAATGACTTTTGGGGCATCTGCAATGATTAAAAACAGTAATTGTTTTCAATTCTGATTAAAATATCTGACAAAACCTTATTCTCATTTCTTTTACGATGGGAAAATGGCAAACCCATTAAACACAACTTACCAATAGGATCTACCGCTTTGGTTGGAGGAGTGGCCCGAGAAGGTTCGCCAATGCCAGCAGCATTTTCTGCTCGCACACGGAATTGGTATTCCTTTCCCTCTTCAAGGCCTTTTGCTGTATAGGTCAGGACTGGTACCAGGTGTTCGTTGCATCTCTTCCATCTCTCTTCACCCTTAGCAATCTTCTCTATGATGTAACCCATTATCTTGCTCCCTCCATCGTACAAAGGTGGCTTCCATGTAATAGTCACTGCCTCGGCTGTAGGATTATGTACCTCAACGTCTACAGGTGGATCAGGGGGCTCTGAAGAACAAGAAAAAACCTGTTAATATAGGGAAACCCGTCTTCTTAAAAAAAAATGCATATTAACTCTTAGCTCTATTACATTCATGCTCAAACTTACGCTTCGGATCTTGAGCAATTACTGGATTTTTCAGTTCAATATATTCGCCTCCACCAATCTTGTTGACAGCTTTAACACGGAAGAAGTATTCACCATTTGGTATGAGATCTTTGACAGTCCAAGACAGTTTGTTCTCACCAGACATGACTGGTATATACGTCCTCCTCCCAGCTTCTCTGCGTTCTAGGACGTAATGAAGAATTGGGCTTCCACCATCATATTCTGGAGGTTCCCAGGTTAATTTACAAGAACTCTTGGTCACATCACTTGCTTTAAGATCTTTGCATGGTCCAGGTAGTCCTATTAGAAATCAAATTGACAATTATCATTGTAACCTGCAAAGTCAGCATATTAAGAGCACACTCTGAGTAGGACATTGCAGGCCATTTTGCATCCTTGGCTCCCAATTACTAAATGTCTGTCAGTAACTTCCCCCTTAGTCTTTGTTCCAAGCAAAAATGGCCCCCCAAATTTCAAAACACCATCCATGTCGGGGGCGGGGGGAAGGGGGCAGAAAATGTTACCACTCCTGGTTGAGAACACTATGAAAACGTGCAAATACAATTAATAAATGAATACTGGTTATTTAAACATTCTTTGGGTGTGCCACATCTTTTATTTAAGTTAGTACTTCACATGCAAATGATTACAACAGAAGTGAATTAGTGTAATCAGGGTTTAAATAGCAATTTCGTCTCTTCAGAATTGCTTTGCTTCTCGTATGGGAAGAAATAATCTGAAAGGACACTTAGTTTACAAATGGCCAGCTCATGAAGCCACTTATACTAACATTGCAGAGTTAACCAATTTTCCCAACAGGTGAAGAATGTCTGGCGTTTCATCAAAGAATGATTACCTATGACTTTGACATTGATTGAGGCAGTTGCTGAGCCGAGCTTATTCTCCACGGTAATGGTGTAAACTCCAGCATCTGCATGGACACTCTTGGGAACTTCAAGGTGTGCAGAGATGTGATCGTTCTTCATTGTTAATCTATCACTTGCTTTAACTTCTTTGCCATCTTTATGCCAGCTAACGGTTGGAACTGGGACAGCTCTGAAGGGAACAGGAATGCTTAATTTTTCACCTTCAATGACGACAATGTCATGAGTCTCCAGATCAATTGTTGGCTTGCCTGTAAGAGATAATCCAAAAGGGGAAAAAAAGGGTGTGTCAAACTGCAGTGCATGAGTAAAGCCTACTTTATTAATTATAAAAAGAAACTGTTCTTACAGTCTGGGTCTTTGGCAACCACGTTTTCGGAGATTTCAGATGGCTCACTGACACCAACAGCATTGACGGCTCTCACTCTCAGGACATACTCCTTGTCGGGCACAACACCTTCTTCAACCTTGAATTTCAAGTCTTTTATTGGGCGAGAATTAACCCGCATCCATTTCTCAGTGCCTACTGGACACATTTCAACATGGTATCCTATAATAGGACTTCCACCATTTTTCTCTGGAGGCTTCCAAGCAATGGCAATGTGCTTTCTCCCAGCATCAGTCACATGCAGGTCAAGGGGAGGTGAAGGAGGACCTGAAAAGAGAGTGAAACATTCACATCCACAGTCTCATCATTAAGCTCTAGACAATATCCTTCGTATAATCAACACTACTTACTTGTTGGATCTTCAATTTTCAGGATTTCTGTGGGTTCGCTTGGGTGTCCAACTCCAGCTTCATTCTCTGCCCGAACCTGAAACTGGACCTCTGTTCCTTCAATGACATCAGTTACTTTAAAGTTACAGTCAGGTCCTGAGGTCTTTGCAGCTTTCACCCAACGGGTACCTAACTTTTCTTTCTTCTCAATGACATATCTATTGAAATAACAAAGCATTTCGTGAGCATGAATAAAGAATTTTCAGCCGAATGTAAATTTTTCTTTATGAGTTAATTAAAATTCTACCTCTGTATTGGTCTTCCACCATCATTTTTAGGTGGTTCCCACTTCAGGTCAACATGTCCTTTCGTCACATCAACCACTGTCAGAGCGTAGGGTGGTCCAGGGGTGGCTGAAAGCAAAATATTCAGCGGTTAGAAAAACCAGGGAGAAAAGTGACAGTCCACTACAAATGATGTCACAAAGATGAAGTTAGAGAGCATACTAAAGGTGTCTTTGGCCAGGACAGAGTCCTCGACTTCACAATAGTCACTCTGTCCTATGGCATTTTCTGCAGCAACTCGGAACACGTATAAAGAACCCTCGGTCAGTGGGGTCACTGTGCACTTGGTGTCCTTGACAGTTGTGTCCACTGTTTGCCAGCCTTTCCGCCTCACGTCTCTCTTTTCCACAATGTAGTTGGTGATGGGCGACCCTCCATCTTTCTCAGGAACCGTCCACTTTAGGTCTGCTGTATTTTTTGTAATATTGATAACTTCAAGCCAACGAGGTGGTGATGGGGGATCTGAAGGAAAAAAAAATTCAATTTCTTATTGTCCAATATTCAGTCTTCACTAAATTTTCTAGTAGTCACTAAGAGATTAGATAGCAGGGATGAAATAATTAAGAGTGACTTACAAAGTTTCTCCCGGCAAAGCACAGAGTCACTGGGTTCGCTGGGTTCACTTTCGCCCGCCTTGTTCACAGCTCTAACTCGGAATGAGTATTCTTGCCCTTCCATGAGCCCTGGGAACAAATGCTCGGTGGTGGGAACCCCTTCGGCCACTCGGACCCAGTCCTCTGTTCCAGTCTTTAGCATTTCAATGACGTAAGAATCGATCTTTGCCCCTCCATCGTGTTCTGGCTTTGTCCAATTCAGCATTAATGATGTTCTGCCTACATCTTTCACGGTTGGTTTTCCAGGGGGCCATGGAGGATCTGCAAGCCAATGAAATGAAACCATTATTGAGGTTTGCCAAAAGGAATTAATATAAGCTTCAAAATAATCACAGAAAATATATGAATAATACCTATGGGATCCTTTATTAAGATTGGCTCAGTTGATCTGCTTGCTTTTCCAGGTCCAGCAAGATTTTCAGCCAACACACGGAATCTGTATTTTTTCTTATTGGTAAGACCTTTCACTCTGAATTAGGAACAAAGTGTGAGTTGAATACCACGATAAGAAGGAGAAACCTCTGTTTATTTCACATAGAAGAAGGTAATTTATTTAAATTGTGAAAAACTGGTTTGGATATTTAACTGAAATTAAAAATTGCCTTTTAACTGTCACACACTTTAGATTTGGTCACATGTGCCAATCTAATTATAATATCTATAATAATAATCATTACCATAATACACTAGAGGACCAAACACTTTGGAACTTCCAGACAGTTTATATTTTATGGTAAGAAATTAAGAAATGTGCCCTTCAATGGAATTTATATCATTTTTGAAATTATGTGGTAATAGAAAAGATAAGTAAAAATAATTTAAAATTTTATAGTAATATATAATCAGGTATAATCAAAAGGAATGCTAAAGAATGCAAATTTATATACACTGCTTTTTTGACATCTTAATGGAGAGCTTGGGCGTACCTGTATGTTGTATCCTTTATTGGCATCTTATTGCATCTAACCCATTTATCAGTATCAGGATCTAATCTTTCAACCCAGTAACCCGTGATGGGGCTGCCACCGTCATCATCTGGCTCACACCATGTGAGGGTCACTGCATCCTTAGTGATATCAGAAGGTTCTAGGCGAGTTGGAGGTCCAGGTGGATCTATAGACAGGATAATCATATGTGTTATATGTCCTGTATATAAATATGACACCTAAATCCAACTTTGACACAAGTATGTTTGTTTGTTTGTTTTTTTTAGCCACTTGATTAATGAGAAACTTACCAAACTGATATTTGGCTGTTATTGGAGTGGCCTGAACTGGCTCACCAACACCGTACATGTTTTCTGCAGCAACTCTGAAGATGTATTCTTTATTGGGTGTTAATTTGGTTGCCTTGAACTTTGTATCCTTGACAGTTGACGAGAGCTTGTGCCACATATCACTGTCGGTCGCTCTTCTCTCCACGACATAGTTTGTGATTTTAGATCCGCCATCATCGCGTGGTGGGTTCCATGTGAGAAGACATGACTCGTTGGTCACTTCCATGATATCTAAAGCAGCTGGGGGTCCAGGTTTATCTGTGGATGACAGTACACACTCAGAGAAAAGCATTTGTTTAATATGTTTTATTTTCAAAAGTAGCTGGAACGAGTTTGCCCATTTTTAAAACGAGAGCCTCCCTTACCTAAGACGTTCACTTCTACCACAGCAGTGGCCCGACCACAGACGTTCATGGCCTCGATAATGTATGTGCCACTGTCACTTCTCTTACTATCCACGATCGTCACTGTGGATTTTTTAGGAACGTTTTCAATGGTGATTCTTTTGTCCTGCTTCAGAAGCATATCAGCCTTTGTCCAGGTTACTTTAGGTTCAGGTTTGCCAGTTACAGTGGCAGGAAGTTCAATCTTAGTTCCCGCTTTTACAGTGAGACCCGCAAGGAGCTTCACGTCGAGGAAAATTTCTGGAGCCTCTGAATTGGAAAAGATTATTTACGATGTTACCAAATTTGGGCAGAATTAAAGTCAAAAGTCTGACTGATAAAGCAAAAACCAAAAGTAAGTACCCTGTGTGTCCACAGCCTGGATTTCTTCTGTGGGTTTGCTTGGCTTGCTAGCTCCTAGCCTGTTCAAGGCCTTCACGCGATAGGCATACCACTGGCCTTCTTCAAGACCTGTTACTTCCATTCTGTCAGAAAACAAAATAGGATATTTTACTTAATGCATTTAATCTGTTCCATTGTGTAGTATTCATAATATTTCCAAAATTCATACCCCTGGTATAATACTATCCTTTAAATTAATTCTGGATTGCTTCAACATTTTAACTAATGAAAACCTTGATTAAAGGGTAAGTTCAGCAGCACTTTTAAAAATCAGACAGGCAGGGGCTTCCCTGGTGGCGCAGTGGTTGAGAGTCCGCCTGCCGATGCAGGGGACACGGGTTTGTGCCCCGGTCCGGGAAGGTCCCACGTGCCGCGTAGCGGCTGGGCCCGTGAGCCATGGCCGCTGAGCCTGCGCGTCCAGAGCCTGTGCTCCGCAACGGGAGAGGCCACAGCAGTGAGAGGCCCGCGTACCGCAGCGGAAAAAAAAAAAAAAAAAAAAAGACAGGCACACCAAGGAAGTTCTAAACTTAACATTTAGATTTTCCAAAAGAAAGCCCATTTTAGTAAGAGTAAATATTTACTTTTGTGCCAAATAATTTAAAAACTTACTTTGTTTCTGCAACTGGGTCTCCACAAGCGACCCATCGATCAGAACCACGTGGACATTTTTCAACTATATATCCTTTGATGCGTGAACCACCATCATGTTTAGGTGGATCCCATGTTAGGAAGATGCTCTTGGCTGTTCGATCTCTCCACTTAATATTCTCTGGTGGGTCAGGTACCGCTGTAGCATTTTAAAGAGAGAGTCAGTCTTAGATAGGCCATCTATGAAATCTCCATACTGCCAACCTGTGTACTTCCCCCATAACTTCAACTCCAGGTCTAAAAGCAAAAACAGGTGGGAATTCCCTGGTGGTCCAGTGGTTAGGACTCTGTGCTTCCAGTGCAGGGGACATGGGTTCGATCCCTGGTCGGGGAACTAAGATCCCACAAGCTGCGTGGCACGGCCAAATAAATAAATACATACATAAATAAAAATAAACGGAAAAACAGGTAACAAGAGGCTAGGTAAGAAAATAACAAGAATGTACTCACTTGCAGGAGCTGACATATTTACAGGTTCATCAACATATGCGGGTTCTCCAGGGCCACACTTGTTACGAGCACAGACTTTAAATAAATATTCTTTTCCTTGAACAAGATCAGCAACTGTGAATTCTAGGTTGCTCACAGAGTCTATAACCTGGGACAAAGCAATACAGTTAATAAACTGTTTTCCAAAAACTCTGCCTAAGTCAAAATATTTTTACCATGAGCAGGGTTACAAATGGAAGTTGTTTTGAATGCTAAGGATTATTCTTACGTTGATTTCATATTAAGGAAAAAATTGCAAAGTAAGACATAATAATATTTGACGCCTAATGTAAGGTGGAACTGCTTCATAGTTTGTACACGTTAAAAAGTCGGTAAATGAGGTGTTGATTCTTTCTACCAGCTTGGTTATTAGAAATATGATAAATCAAGGTAAAAAACAGTAATGGTATAAACGGAGGAGAGAAAATGGCAGATTAGGCCAACTAAGGTAATTTAATGGAGTGAGAAGAAGTATGACCACCAGGGAGTTAAGTACTTAGTGTCCTTAGAATGGCTTATAGCTTAAAAGGGCATATTGGATACTTATCAGGTACCAACTGAGTAGGTAAGTTTTGTTTTATTTTTTAATAAACCTAGTTGAAAATCTGGTAAGGCTCACAAAATGAGGCAATTACACCAAATCTTGGTTGAACTACCTCAGGAAGCATTAGCATCAATACATTTTAAAAAGTTGTAGGTACTTTTTCAGCAAGGTAAAGGTAAAAACATAAAATCTTTGCAAGGCATCTCGACATTTCGGGATTTCCCCCACTCTCTTTTCTGTAGTTGCTGCTCAAAACTCACTTTAGTCCATGTTTTCCGGCTGACTTCTCGCTTTTCAACAACATATCCGGTTAATGGACTTCCTCCATCATCATCTGGTGGTTCCCAAGTCAAATGTACTGAGTCCTGGGTTATCTCACCGAATTTCAGTTCTTTGGGTGCACTTGGGCGAGCTGAAAAAAAAAAAATGCAGTCAGAAGTCATTAATAGCTTGAACCAATATTTGTTAATACTGTCAAATCACCTTAGATCACAGAAGTTTCGTTCCTTACCAATTACATTGACATCAATCTCCCCAGAAATTGCTTTCACACGATTTTCTAACTTCAGCGTGTAAATGCCCTTGTCTGGACGTTCACTTGGAGAAATGATAAGCTCAGCATAGGCAGATAGGGTTTTCATTTTCACACGGTCTCCTGCTTCTAGTACTTTATCTCCAAAAGACCAGGTAGCAGTTGGCCTTGGATAGCCTGTACTTGGAACCAGGATCTTGATAGGATTTGGCACAATAACTTCCAGGCCATCTTTAAATGCACTTAAATCCATTGTTGGTTCAACTACCAAAAAGAAAACTTAATGAGTTTCCAGTACTGTATTTAAATCCCTGGTACCCCGAAGTAGCTATGTGCTATTCCCAAATCTAAAAAGAAAATATCCATTTACCAAATGCATCATCAGCAGTTAGAGGACCAAGAATTTCAGATGGATCTGAAACACCAACTTCATTTTCTGCAGATACTCGATATAAATATTTATTTCCTTTTTGTAATCCAGTAACCTAAAATTATGAATCAATGTCTGTAAAATACATATACGTTTAAGTCCATGATCATTTACCGACTATTTATTTTAGATACACATGCCGTACCTTGTAAGTCAGTTCTGGGACAAGTTTCTTATTGCAACGAATCCAATTATCTTTTCCTTCTTCACATCGTTCTATTATATAGCCCAATATTGGGCCTCCTCCATCTTTCAGAGGAGGTTCCCATGTGAGCTGAACTGATGACTGAGTCTGATCTGAGGAGTTTAGGTTCACAGGAGGACTTGGTCTCTCTGGATTGGAAGAAAGAGTTGGAGCATACCATTTAATTCAGTGACAGCTTATTAAGATAATGCTGTAATCATTTCTATCATCCCCATATTCACTGGACACAAGCAGGCCCAGTCTGGATTTCTACAATTTTGTTCAAATTTTTCTGATGTTCTTTTCATTAACTTCTGTTTAATTTGATTTATTTTAATCGATAAGCTTAATTTCTTGATTAAATGGATTACTTATTTCCCTTTTTTTGATGGACTCACCAATCGGATCAGCAACTTTGATGAAGGGTGTGGCTGCACTTGGTTTTCCAACTCCAATTCGGTTTTGGGCCCTAACCCGGAAACTGTACTCCTGTCCTTCCACCACATCAGTGACAGTTGCAGACAGGTCTTCAGCTCTTACTGTCATGGCAGTTTCCCATCTGACAGAAGTCTTGTCCCTTAATTCAATGACGTAGTTTGTGATCTCGGCACCTCCATCGTACTCTGGTGGTTCCCATGTCAATGAGACACCAAATCTGTTCACATCAGTGATCGTTACATTCAAAGGAGGGCCTGGAACATCTGGATATCCAGAAAACACGGGCTTTAGGTTATCTCAGGGATAAAAGCAAAGATAAGCTAGTTTACAATTTACTTAAAAACTTCTTCTTACCATATTTACTCCTCGCTTCTACAGGACTGTCAGTTTCTACTGGTTCACCAGTGCCGACTCTGTTTCTTGCGCTCACACGGAATAGGTACTCAGCTCCTCCTTTTTGTAGTCTAGTGACAGTAAACTCACAACTGTCTGCACGGTCAGTGGCCAGAACCCAGGTCTTTCTCTTGATGTCACGTCTTTCAACAACATAACCTATGATTTGGCTTCCACCATCAGTTAATGGTTCTTCCCAAGCGAGGCTCACTTCACCATCAAATGTTTCTGTCACTTCTAAGTTACGTACTGGCCCAGGAACATCTGGAATTCACATATACATTTTTTTTTTTTTTTTTAGTGTGTTATCACGCTTTTAGTTGTGCCTTGCCAATAAAGTGCAAGTGACTCAAGGGCTTACCTATAACTTGTAAATTGATGAATGCTTCTGCTTTTCCATGTTTGTTCTGAAGCACAATTTTATACCTTCCTTTGTCTCCTTTCTTGGCTTCTGAAATTCTGAAAGAAGTCTGTTCAGCTGTAGTATCAACAGTTTTTGAAGATAGAGGTTCATTTTCCTTAAACCACTCAGCTTCTGCCTTGGGGTAGGCATCATAGGGCACCACCATGGTCAGAGGCTGGCCAACATCAACCACCAGGTCTTGGTCAGCTGTCTTGA